TACTACATACGAAACCTGGTTTTCGTTAATAGAAACTACTTACATATGTATGTATATTGTATATGTACTCGTGTAATGTATACATACAGCTAACGTGAAAAATCCGACCAAACTTCAATTCCACATCAACTTCAGAATTTCGTTTACAAGAAAATTTACTACCTGAGTGGCTTTTGTATTCATGCTTAGTATCTGCTTTGGTGGTTTTTGGCACTTGAATGAATATTCAAAAGTTTATCCAGGTTTCACAATGGTACATATCCCGCCGCTCTTTCCAAACCACACAACGCTTTGAGTTCTCATCGTCCTCTCGTCTGTCATTCATTCACTGTTTTACATGCACTTATCGTCCCGAGGCAAGGATATAAAGACTTGTATGAAATACAGTCAAACAGACGGACCAAAATCCGATAAGCACGATTACAGGGATGCGAATATGAGAAGAAGTGCTTAGGTTTTATGCAAGTTGTAAATACAGTTATGATTAAAATAGTTTAGAGGGCAAAAATAGTGCAATACATTACAAAAATCGAGCCGTCGTTAACTATGACTTGAATCATAAAAATTTCCTATTGACAGTAAACTGCTACAATAGCTGTATTCAACTTGCGAAGCGTTGGAGAGTAGATAATCGAACAAACTATAAACGAGATGTTGACATAAACAGGCAGCAATTGTGTAACCCCTTAGTTTTGTTTTCTATAAACTATTATAATCGTTTTATATCTTAAGTTTGGAAAACCGAAGAATAAAAAGAAATTTGTATTTTCATTTGTCGTTAGAGCCATTCTATGCTAATAGTAAAACTGGTCTAAAATATGCAAAGCATAACTTGGTACACTGAAGATAGCTTTAATTACAAATTATATCACTTTAATGAGGTGTCCGCGTTCTCTCATGTACGATTAACTTGTAACCTTTTGTTCTTGCTATTACATATAATCTTTTTGTGAAGAGAACAGCGCGCAATAATAGTAAGCGATTCGAAGACAGCTAAGCTTTTTAGAGAGAACTGAATTAGGTTCATTTTAGGAGAGCATTAAGTAGTTATTTCTTTGGAAATATGTATTTTGAGGACCGAGCGATTTAAAAGAGTTTGCATCAGATTATCAAGTACCTAAATGAAATCTTTATTTGTGTACAGTGAACAGTTTCTATCTGATTGATCTAAATTTGTCACCATATCAAAAGTAAAAGGCCTTTTGGTCCGCGCTGTATTTTGAAATAAAAGATGTAAAGTAATTCTACTAGTGTACCATTCATGAACAATTATTATAAATACCATAAGTGAAGGTACAGTTACGAGTGCGTAAAATATTTTCCCTGTGCAGATTTTTTCATCGTCACTGTGCTCAATTGGCCACGAGACGTGCATGTACATACATACATATGTAGATGATGTATACAAAGTTTGTTGTCGAACTGTTGTTGACGTTCGTATTTCTGTTGCTGCCGCCGCTTTTACTTATGATATAACCTGCATATTTCATATGAATGTGTGTGTGTGTTACTTTGTTGATGTCCTTTATTGTTTGCCTTTCTCTTTTCAGTTACTGCCATCATTTTGTGTTGTTGTTCTTTGTGCCTTTGTTGTAGCAGTTTTGTGCTTTTCCTGTGGTTGTCACAGGCTTTTGTTTACCTGTGCGCTACGGTGGGGATGCCACTTCCATTGTAAAACTCCCCACGTTGTTGCTGGAGCGACAAAACTGCTGTCACCAGCATTTCTACATTTAAGTTGTCGTATTTGATGCAAACTGGATATGTGTTAAACGAGGAGGCTACTTCACACCACAAGAGAATCTGGATTTCTTCGAAAAGGTTTAATTTATCCCATTTAACATTATTATTAACTCCTAATCACACCTCGAATCCGAGGTTTTTAGCACTCTCAAAACCTCCAAAAACTATTTCTGATATGATTTTTAATACTCTCATAATATGTTCGACAGATTGGTTGTTTGTAAACTATGTCCGTCCGTGCAAGCGATATCTTGAGTATCTATAACTAAGCTCGAAATTAAGAAAAAACTGAAATTTGCAACAGAGAAGTGGTTAAAAATGTTTTTAAAATAGGTTTAAAGTGCATACACTAGCCGCCATAAGTCTACGCTCCTCCTCAAAATAAATCTTTACTTCTTTAAATAATAGGAATTATTATTTAAATAACTGAAACTTTGTAAATGTACAAATGTATGGCGCATTTCAGCCTAACCTCAATGTGAGTTCACAAAATTTGTATATTTGGAGTGTTAATAATACTTCAATATTATTAATATCCAGAACCTAGATGCTAAATGGTTCCAACATGAAATGAATTTGTGAATTGTCCACCCAGGTTCAGTGACTTAACTAAAAGGCAAAGGAGGAATAATAATCTCTTAACAGTGGTCATATATGTATGTACATATCATAACAAAATGGGTATTGCAGACTAACAGGTGATACTCTCGCAACTTGTTGCTACAGAGTTTAATAGTTTTGTTCACCTAACGGTTGTTTGTATCACCTAAAAGTAATCGAGTTAGATATAAGGTTATGTATATATAAATGATCAGGATGAAGAGACGAGTTAAAATGTGGGTGACTGTCTGTCCGTCCGTCCGTCTGTGCAAGCTGTAACTTGAGTAAACATTGAGATATCTTTATGAAACTTAATACACATGTTTCTTGGTACCGTAAGACGCTTGGTATTGCAGATGCACATTAAATTTTATCTCTGGGATGGTATGAGATGACTTTATAGGAACCGCGTTCAAAATTAGATAGTGGGCGTGGCACAGCCCACTTCTAGGTGAAAACCCATATCTTGAGATCTCCTTAACCGATTTCAACCAAATTCGGTACGTAACATTCTTCTCATATTTCTATGTTATAGTACGAAAATGGGAGAAATCGGATTACAACCACGCCTATTTCCCATATAACATCATTTTAAATTCCGTCTGATTTTTTCACTTTCCAGTATGCAAATCAAGCAACAATAATTATATCGGCTTAAATCTTTGCGTGAATAACACGTTTAAAGTATGCCACCTTGTGACCAAAAATTATCTAAATTGAACCAAAACTGTTCAAGCCCCTGGGTACGGTAATAAACAAAATTGTCGCATTTAGAGTGATGATAATCCTCAAGCCATTGTTGATGGCATGACATGTTGTGATTGTGTGTATCTATATTTTTTCTAAAATGTATCCGGCCATAATGTTGCAGTGAATTAGGAATGATATAGGCCCAGATTAATGACTTTTTCGGGCCTGAATTGGAGGATTTTAATGTGGACGACCTTAACAGCTAACGCAGCAATCTATTGAAGGAGTGCGTTATGTCGCGTCAAGGGCCTGTGTCGTGGCCTCCAAGGTCCGATTTAACACTGCTGGACTATTTTTGAGGGGTTGTATCTAAACAGATAAGTTTAAGACAATTGACGCCTTGGAAGAGAATATTCGTCGAGTTATTGCTGACCTGCGACCAATTCTTACAAAAAGTGGTAAAAATGTATGTAAGTACATATGTACAATAATTGCCTTTAATGCTTAGCCCAATTTTATTAAAATATCACTCATGTTGGCGTGTAGTTAAGAAGAGAGCCGGAATAATTTTATTCGATAAATATCAGCGAAGTGCAAAGATCTTACCGAATTTGATTGAGGTACATAGGTCTAGCAATTAAAATAAGTATAAATACACTAAAGTATTAGAAGCTGGCTTAACGCACACTTTTCAAAATCTTAAAAACCACATGAAGAGCAGAAAATTTCGTACAAGACTATGAGCTTTGAAATTTAAAATGATTTTATTTCATTGACTTATAAAATTCAAAAGGAAAAAACCAGTTTGCCTTAAAATAGCCTTGCCTATTAATAACTTTTAAACAGTTAAAAATTGTAAAATACCATTTTTGAAGTGCATTCAATTCCCTAAAAAATCCACGAACCGAAACATGTTTTCAAGTAGTTAGAAGCGAGATTTAAATTTTTCTATCTGATAATAAGAAAAGAAATAAAATACTGTTAGGCGTAGGACCCTCTCGGTACAAGAGCTCATACTTGGAGAACCTTTTTTAGAGGTGTCTATCAACGAAATTTTTAGAGTACCAAGCGAAATAAATACCTAACCTAATGTACATATACTTGTATGTATCAGTATATGATTATGTTGACCCTGTGCAACATGAACGTAATGTAAAATATAAAATAACGCCGCTCAGAGCATGAAATTATAGTTATTTCCAAAAAAATTTGTAAAACATTTTCCATTAATTACATACTATGTATTCCTACTCACCTATTTTTTCTCCCCTATTGAATAGGTAAAAGTGTGTCTGCATTTATAGTCAATTAGTTATCATTTCATATATTTTTATTTATTTATTTTATTGAGCAATAACATAAATTAATACATTTAAGATTATTGAAATCTGTTTATAATACGTAATAAATAAATTACTTAAATTACAGTATATTTTCTTCGTTTTCTACTTTTTGTTTTTGGTTTTTCACTCTCAGATTAATTACTTTAATATTAGTTCTACTAAATCGGTTTACAAATTTTTAACTTTTTTGAATCAATGACAGAGAATATTTAAAATTTTCAACCATTGAAATCAAAGTGAACTTCTACATTATTCTAGGGGTGCCCTCATACTGTGATATATGTATGTATTTAGTATCTGTGCGTAAAACGTCTCATTAACATTTGAAGTTTGAAGACTGCTATCGTTTAAGTGAATTCCAAACGTTAAAATTTTATCTCCTTCTCTATTGTATTATATTATATAATAAAATTTTAAAGTCTATTTTGATTATGGTTTTGATATTGCTGGGCTGATGTAATAAAATTCCTTTCATTTTTTAGCGTTTCAATGCCGTTCTCATTCTAATTTCCACTTTACTGCAGATTTTTATACATAGTATCAATAAATGTAGTTTATATTGAAGTTAATTTTAATTAATTTATGCATAATTTTTAGTTTAATTTGACTAGCACAAGTACTTTTTCTTCGGTTTCATCATGCGAATGCGTCATTTGGAGCCGACCCCGTTCGCCACGAGTGAAGTCGGTGGCGCAACACTGCTGCTGCCTGAGTTCTGTGGCTGCGGCACTTGAGACGTTGACTGCGGCTGATTAGGCGGGGATCTAGAGATGGAGCCACGCATGTTTGCCGTAAGTGGGATCCCCTGAGACACACTGTGTTTAGCAGAAATATCAGATGATCGCGTAGTGCCGCAAATCTTCGAAATAGCATTAAGCACAGAAAAATACGGTTAATATTAGATATGATATTCAATGTATATTCCAAAAATGCCCATTCGTTCAACAGAGGTTTAACAGTTACCTGGTGATGGTGTTCCCAATCCTTATGCTGGCAGAAAGCGCCACAATAACGGGCCAAATTGCAGCCAGAACAAGTTTCGGTTGCTTTACGTCCACAATTCCAGCAAGCCTTAATACAAAATAATAATATGTATAGGTAATAATGAAATAAAAGCTTTCCATTATTAATTTAGTCAGTTTACATTTTGGCCGGCTGTAATCGAGGGAGACTTGTTGTCCATTTCACGTTCGGCTGGCACGGTTGCTGCTGCTACACCTGCGATAGCTGCACTGGAATTGTGGATACCACCTGAATGGCGACTCATCTCGACGAAAAACTTTTCCATACGCAAGCGTTCCTGTGACATCACTTCTGATGCGCGTGTTTCTGCTGCTACCACTGCACGCTGTATTTCAATCACCGCCTGTCGTTTCACCTAAACAAACAAAGTATATTTCGGGTGAACTAAGATATCAGCCTAGCGGGTATTTACCTGGTTGACTGCTTCTTCGGCATTTCGTTTGAACTCAGCCACCTTCTCTTCAGTCTGACGTCGTATTTCGGCCAGTGATGCTGGTGTAACTTCACTGTAGTTGAGCTGTTGGGGCTCTACGCCCCGCTGTTGCAAGATGGTAATCGCCCGTTTTGTCTTATCCACCATTGCCGAGATACAGTTCAGCATGGTGTGTATATTCTTCCATTCCTCTTCGCCGCCGAGTGTGGGATTGACGCTGCCAGCACCAACCGCACTAGTGCTTGTGGTTGGGGGACCAGACCGTGGAGGATGTCGTTGCGCTGCATTTTCAGCAACGGTATTAACTCGCAGATCACGATCTTCCCTATGATTTGCCTATAGATAAATACAGACATATTACTACCAGCATTTCAAATACATCACAACTAACTGGGCAACTGTACCTTCTCCATAAGGCTGTTGAAATTATTCTCGGATTGAGTAATTGCTGACGTGCTACTGGCTGCCGCCGAGTAATCAAAAATGGTTGGTTGACTGGTAAATGCAAGACGTGCATCGGCGGATGCGGCGTTTAAATGAGTCGAATGTGCATGCAAGGCGCGCTTGGCCGGCGGATAAGCGGCCATATAATCATTCCAGTCTTGTATTCCATTGTGGTGTTCCATTAGAGTGTCCGAAGCTCGCCGCTTAAAGACGAGGCTGGTAGTACCCGCGCTGTTGGACGCTGTAGCTTGCACAACGGCTGCCGCAGCTGCAGCCTGCGCAGCATCCATGTGTACGAACATGTCACTGTATTCCGCAGAAGGCCCGTGTGGAGAAAACTCCATTACAACATTCTCATTCGTGGTAACGTATTGTAGTGTAGTCTAAAGATTGGCGATCAAGCAATTACAACCAAGTCCATAACATTTCTAGATATATATAGACTATATACTGTAAATAACTAAGTAATTCTTACCTGATTACTGGCACGCGCTAATTCGGAGATCTCGCGTTGCAGCAGGGAAATGTGATTTTTGAGTAATGGAATGACATACGGACGCAATGGCAAATTGATGGCATCTTGAAGTGTCAGGCGGAACTCATCAATGCTTATGCTACCACTGACCAGTGAGAGCACTAGCGCACGCACACGATCACTTACTTCAGGATGAATCTCTTGCGCTAACTGTACCAGAGATCCAAGAAATTTACGTATCTTACTAAGTAGGCGTGTCTGCTCAGCATGCACTGCAGCAGCAGTAGCTGCAGCAGCGGCAGCAGCCAGTGCCGCCTGTGTAGGTGGTGTGGGTAGTGGAGGCGGTGATGTGGTGGTCGTTGCTCCATTCACTACCGGTGAGGCGCTGGCATTACGATTCGGTCGTGGTGGTGGTGGTGCCAGGCTAGAGTGATGCAGTTGTGGTGACATAGGTGAACGTGGTGCAATAGCCCGTGCGCTCTCCGGAGAGTCGGGGGTGCGGCAACTGCGCGTTCCGTTAGCGTTCGGATTCGAACAAGTCGAACTAGAGTTGCTCACCCCACTGCTACCACTTGCACCAGCGCAGCCGTTGGTTTGCGAAGAGTTATTGCTGTTGCTCGAGTCCTTGCCGGAAGAAGAGTTGGAGGAGGAGTTAGCTGCAATAGGAAACGAAGAGCCGAAATTGTAAATGAATAAGCAATGTTGTAATTAGCGTGTGTTAGTTGTGTTCTGTTTGGATAAGCGTGCCACAAGCACCGCAACAGCAACATAAGGTGAGCGCCTGTGAAAAGCAACAACGTTTTGCTGCTCAACTACCAACCGAAAATGTTACGAAATGTGGCCAGCGGCAGTAGCGTGGCAACCAATGCTGGTCAAATTTTGAAGAGGCGAGTGCTGCCTGTTCTAGTGATTTTTGTTGCAGGCGGGTTGTCATGCTCAAAATATGCAGTACCTGAAACACGCAGTTGCCGTTGCCATGTCCGTCCAACCGTACCTTTATTGTTATGTCACGGCGTTCGTGTGTTCGCGCAACCGCAAATACCGAGATTTGTGTTACATTGCTTCTGCCACTGACGTCGACTCAGTTATGCTGTGTTTCGACTGCTGTTGCTACTGTTGCTGACCCGAAGGATAAATGCGTTGCTGTCTGGTGGAGCATGCGAAAGGACATGTCAGCAGCCGACACATCATAAATGCATTAGCTGCAACATGAAGAAGGCATTTCGCTTCGTTGCTTTGCTGCATTGTTGTATTCCACATTCAAGTACAAACAAAGTACAACTTCAGCCATCTCTCGCCCCGGTCAGCTGCCTCTGCTTCATCACCAGAGACTCGAGGGCAACTGACCAATGTCACAGTACATCCTGCACATTTTCCACACATTGGGAATTGTGCTTTTGTAGAATATGGCATGCTACACGAATATGGAGCAGTGTTGTCCGGCCATTAACCATTGCACGTTACGATAGTGGGCAGCAGACAGCCGGCAACTTCGGTGTGGTGTGGTATTCCCGAACATGGCAAATAAATTAGTAACATTCTGGACAAATTGCACTTGCACACGAGTTTTTCTCATCGCTAGTGTTCTTGTTGCAATAGCTGTCATTCTCGTTTGTCGATGATTCTGCCGTCCTGCTGTTGGTTGTTAGTGATGGTGTTGAAAGCGCAAACACGTGTTTCAACATTTGTTGCCAAATACATGATTGCATTTTGCTGCCACATGTACGTACATGGAAAACTTTGAAGAATTTGCTCCTACATACAACAATTATCTCAAGTTGGACATAAAAACAGGGAGTGGCAATGATCGTGTTTGAATAGGTATTAACTCGACATTCTTCATATACCCCCTGCTTATTTGCCTACAGGTACGCCGAATGATACTCTATTATGCATTTAGATATACATATATAATTTTATTAAGCTATTTATTAAATTTGGTCTCGCAGCTTATTTTCTCTTTTCTAAAACTGCAGTGTTGTGAGTGAAGCATTTTATTATTTTTGGTAAAACATTTATCGCAGAGAATGTTGAAGTATAATTCCCTTGTAACAAGACAGAAAATTTAAATCAAATTGACCTCATATAGAGTAAAAACAAGAAAAAACGTTAACTTCGGCTGCACCGAAGCCATAATACCCTTAGCATGTGCATTTTTTTATAAAATAAATGAGCATCAAAAGTTCTTTTTCATAATTTTGATCGGTCAGTTTATATGGTACAATCTGCAGTGGTCCAATCTGAACAATTTCTTCGGAGTTTTCCATACAATGACTTGAGTTGGATTGGTTAGTTTGTTTGGTATCTATATGCTGTAATTGTCCGATATCGGCGGTTCCGACAAATGAGCAGAAAAAGACGTGTGCAAAATTTCAGACCGATATATCAAAAACTGAGGGACTCGTTCGCGTATATGTATATGATAGGCGGACATGGCTAAATTGTACAACTATTTGCTTTAAAATATCCTCGATCTCGGGGATTATCTCTTAATTGTCGCTAAATTTATTTCCCAATAGCATTTAATTGACTTCTGAGTACAAGAAAATCGCCGGGGTGCAGAACCGGGTAATACAGTTGATGCATTACCAAATCATTACCTAATCCTCTTCGTCATACAATTATACTAATCGCTCGTTCTTTCCGTCAGTTCTTTCAGTTCAGTTCAATATATTTGGTTAAAAAACAAGTTAATCTAACTAACAAATTAAGCAAATAAAACACCAGTATTATGAAAGTTTAAGTGCATGTATAGTAGATCCGTACAAAATCACAATGGGTTGAATTTGTAAGCAGCGTCGCTTTCGTTAGTTGAGGCTGATAAGTTAGCTGGCTATTTTGTAAGTTTTAAATATGATTGTAAGCAATTTACAATTAATCTAGAACCAACTGAGGCGTATTTCTGTATAGAGATGCACAAAGTTATTAAATAAATGATAGCTGGCGAGGTAACGATGATGACAGGACGTCTTACGTTAAGTTATGTACAAACTCGTATGAATAAAATAACTGATGGCAACAATGATGGCATTGTTTGAACAAAAGCCGAGGCTACATGATCCATTATATTCGTCGACACTCTACCACTTTAACTTGACGTTTGTATATACGTGTGTGTGTCGATCGCACATCAGAGCCCACCTGCTGCCCTGACGTACGTATGGACGCCACAGCAACCCTCTCCCACAACCCGCAAGGAATAGAGTATATCCGTTCAAATCGTAGATGTGTATGCCATGAATGTATGTTATATACGAATATATGTATGTTATGTCAATACCTGAATGGGATTTGGGTGTGATTTTGTCGCAGAGATATTAGTTGGGTTTTTGGGCTGCCAGCTGGGCTTGGTTGGTTGTGCGCTAGTCGCTCGCATGGTCGATAGAAGACAATTTGCTGTGCAAACAAACCAAATTGAGATAAACGAAGCGTGTTAAAACAACAACAGCTGCAACAATAACGAGAAGAGCGCAAACAAAACGGAAATGAGAAGGAGGCACAGAATCAATACGGGTAGCGTGCGGGGACATACGACAAAAATATTGAATGATGACATGTCACTCGGTGAGCAGTGCACAGCGGCAACCACCTACAATGGGATGAAAATTTTTTTTAAGAAACTGAGAGTATTGGGTACGAAGAATGCACCATTCAAGCCACACATCAAAGAAGAGCGAAATTCTGACTATAACAAATAACTTAGGCGATAAAGGTCTTTGTCTGGCCCCTTAGCGCCCCCTGTTTCTCCCTTAGTTTTATCACACTGTTTTTGTCAAAGTGAAAACAATTAAACAAACAAATAAAGTAAAATGTAAAAAATAAAGCAGCATCAAGTAAATAAGTGAAAATGACAGAAAATAATATCAAAAAAAGGAGAGTTATGTGGAGTGAAGCTGCCGAAACCGATCTAATAGATTTTTGGCGGGAAAAAATGCCACAGCTACGATCGGCTAGTCAAAACCAGCTGTTTTATAAACTTTCAACGGCAGTGAGGACAGTCTAGATTAGCGAATATATAAAATGTAATTTAATTGCTTAAAATTGTTGGTGGGAACATGATATAAGCCAATAGTGCAACCTTCGATCATATTGTTCAGACTGGATCACTACAGCACATATGCATAGATGTCCACAAATAAACAAGAATGACCACATAAACAAAACGAGTCCTTTAATTTTTAATAAAAAATATGTTTTAAGTCTTAAAATTTATGCATAAGATATTCAACAACATATTATTATTTCCATAGTCCATATGTTTCAATTGAAAGGAAAGAAAGTTTCATATCACAGTTTATGTTAAATAAACTAAAAACTAATTCCACATAAAAATAGGAGTATTCTATGTAGTACGAAAAATTCTAAAAGTTTTACCTTAAAATTATTTCAAACCTTTACTAAATATTAAAATAATTCATATTTATTCGAACAGCTTTAGTTTCAAGAGAATTTGACCAACGCCACTAAAATCAGGGACTATTTTTCAAGTTGGGGGGATGTCGGACAAAGTTGACATAATACAGACATAATACAGAGGTTTCAGTCAAAAATTCTCAGAGCGATAAAGGGTTCGCCATGGTACATTCGAAATAAAAACTTTCACAAAGATCTTGGTATTTTTATGGTATATAAAGAAGTAGAGGACAACAGAAAGAACTATGAGCTTAAACTCCGTAATCATCCAATTCCATCAGCTAACGTCTCGTTGCATTCCTGTATTCAAACTAGTTTAAAAAGAAAAGTTCTACCAGCCTTTTAAAGAGCAACGTTTTTCCAAACAGGCTCAATGACCCCCTTCAGCTTGTCTTGTTTTAAATAGATTTAAGATTTTATTACCTATCGTTAGGCTTTGAATAAGCAGATTCAATAAATAGAAGATATCTTAATAAAAATAGGCTCTAGAACTGGTACTAACAAATAATTCAATTTTGGATTCATCTGACCACAATATATTTTGAAATTTAAACACGGGCCCGGAGATTTGCTTTTTTGCAAATTTGTAAGGGTAAGGGCCTCCAAATTTGGGGGACCTCCAAAGGGAGGTCTTGGTTTTTTAGTAGCGGTACTTTTCGTAGACTTTTTGCTCTGTGACAATCGCCCACAAAGAGTTTCAGTATTAACTGATAAATTTGGTCCATCGCTGATGCTCCTGGCTGAGGCAGAAGTATTAATTTTGGGTTTGGGATCGTCAGCAATGTGCGTTTGGCTCTTTCGTCCATGTGTTTCATTTTTATTCCAATAATTTAAGGCATTTGCTACTCCTTAAGCAAAATATCAAATATATTTTTAATATTTTCCTATTATTTTGTAGATTGATCGGAATCAAGTGCTATTGTTTAGCCGCTATAAGACGACCCATCACGGTCGATTTTACATACACACATTTACGGTCGCACATAAGAGTGTGTAAACACTACGAGCTACTGCTGCTGCCATTATCACTATTTACCTCAGCAGCAAGACGAAGTGAGTGATGTTGCAGCTGAATCCACAAATTATTATCTCAAAAGCAAACTCACGCATTTGAGAGATACGAATATAACGGCGATTGAAAGGACGGCAATATATGTTTATGTACAAATGTATGTAAAGCTCATATTTATACATATGAACGCTTAACTGTGATAGCTGTTCGAATTTCAACGCACACAAGTAC